GCCAGTATGCTGAACCTGCTATAAACATGGATTAAATAAGGCATTCCCTGCCCTGAAGTGCTTGCAAAGTAGCTTGAGAGTCACAGGGTGGGTGAAAAGATTACTTGTCTGATTTCCCGGACGGGAAACCGGTACACTCAGATAACTAGGGCTAGGTTTCTACTGCAGATAGGTATGCTGGGATCTGAGCTCTTCAGAAAGGTTGTCACCATAGGATGTGATCCAATCTAAAAGAAAATCCGTGGAAGGACTAGGAATCAATACCGCCTGTGAACAATTTTTTTTCCCCACTAGAACCAATAAAATATTAGATTAGAAGAGACTTCTGGAGGTCATCTAGTCCAACTCCCTGCTCAAAGCAAGGACAATGTAAAGGGTAGGTTAGGATTTCCTAGTTTCATCTCTGTTTTCCAATACTTCTTTAGACAATACTTCCATATTCTTTCTGGTTAAGCTTGTCCCCTCAACAAATACATACATATACATAGACACATATCAAAAACTTTCATGCAAAATCCTTAAAAAATTCCTAGTGATTGAACAAATCTTCTGCTGATGTTTTGGAAGCTGCTTTGATAGCTCAAATTTGTATTAATGGGAAACAATAATTTTTGAACAAACTAGGTTTACAATTTTAAACCCGAATACATGGATATCCAACACCAAATAAGAAAAATAAATTCATGGTGAAATATTCCAATGTTATTAAGAATCTTAGGATACTTATGGATGATTCCGACCTTAATTAAAACTGGCAGAAAAGAGATACTCAAATTTTAGGAAAGAGATCAAATAGAATGATACTTACCCTTTTCACAGAGGCGAATAAAGCAAGCAAGGTGGAATGAAGAGCCCTGAGTTGGGAGAGCTTTTATACAGTTCCCTAGATCATGGGGATCACTTAAGGTGCAATTTGTGCATGTGCATAATTGGGGCAAACCCAAAACTAATATGACACGTAGGTCCTCAAAGTTTTGCTGACTATTTGCTTATTTGTTGGTCCGAAGTCTCGTGAAATAAGATAGGTGCATTTCATCACAGAAGCCTCTTTCATCTCAAATAGTTACATGTCATATTCATTCCTGTTATGATTTCATTCACATCCTTGGTGTTAAAAGAATTATACTAATGCTCTTCTTTAGCTTCTCCATTATTAATGGCAAAACTAGGCTGCTCACTACATGGTGGCGGTCACCTGATGTGCATAGATTTTTCCATTAAATCCAGGCTGTAAGATAACTGGAGATAAAATGGAGTTCATTAGAGCAACTTCGGGGTTGTCATTTTTATCTTTATCATTTGCACTCTCAGCTACTTAACGTGAGACCAATACTGCACTCAAAGGAAGCCATAGAAAACATCCTGTGGTCCCTAAATGGTTTTCTGTTATTTGGCTTTTGCTCCTGAACACAATGCTGGCCTCATCTAATGAACGAGGGACTTGGGAAAATACCTCTTGCTTTCTTTGTTGTGCATTCAGCCATGGATTACTCTCCCTGTCCTTTTCTCAAACACTGGCAAGTCGTTTGGACCATCATTCTACAACCATGGAAGAAGACCAATGAGATTTTAAGCAGAAGACAGAGATAGAACATCCTTTTAAACTGCTCAAATTTTTCTAGCAGGTATCCCTCACTGTATTTCAACCCAGGTCGGAGTCTAGAGGCAAACTAATACTTACCCTTTCTGTTCTCAAGATTGCAAGGCGCTTTCTTTGCAAAGCATTTGTCACCCACATTTTCCAGTTTTCTGTCTCCTGATACAAAGCCTTCAGGGATCCATTTTTAGGTCCATCTTCGGATCAGGCAATATTGAAGACTACTGAGAAACAAAATTAAATGAAACATGACTGGTGGCAACTTGCTAAAGCTATCTGGAGATACGTCATGATAGAGACAGAGAAACCATTTACATGGATAAAGGCTGATCATTGATAGAATTGTAACATCTCAAGAAAATAATTAAATCCTCTGTTTCTGTGGTCTGATGTGCAACTGAAAATGATAAAGATACACTGATTATACAGCTTATGAAATGCTGTATTTTATTTAAATGTTTCATTCTATACTTCTACATTGAAAAAAACTGAAGATGCACAAATTCCCAGAATTCAGCCATGGACTGATTATACCAAGGATACAAATACCTTGACTTACATATTTTAGCGTGATGTCATTCCATAATTGCTAGACACCTCAATCCAGGTACATGCCTTTAATCTAATTGTAAGAATGCATTCTCAAAACATTAGTGGATAGTTTGCAGCATTTGAAAAGACTTGCTCCCTGGGAGCTTGAAAATATTATTGTCCCAAAAAAATTCTAACCACCTCAAAGGCTGAGAAACCCACCTCATAATGTAGAGATAATTTATGGCATAGAGTCTGCAGTATTAAAATAACACATCAGTAAACAAGGGAAGAACCAGTCTTTGTTTTGCGTCGTGCATTCCAAGTTCATAATTGTTCCCTGTTCGCAGCAACTGCCAGCTCAGCCCTGTTCTGGACTTAGGTTTGCAGCAACGATAGTGTATTACAGGAGGTAATGAATTCCTGAGAATCAAAGTCAATAATTCAAAGCATTTCTGTCACATTTCAATTTTTGCACCAGAGGATCCATTTGTACTGAAAAAGCTTAGGTTACCTCAGGCCTTTTGATTACTTTCAAGTACCATCTTTGCACCGACAACATCAACCCAACAATACCTGGGAAAATTCTCTTTGGGATCTCCAATCCCTTTGTAGCTTTAGTTAACTTCAGAAACGCATTCCATGTTTATCTCTTAAAAAACAAAAACAAGCCCCAGGAGGATAAAGGCTTCCTCTCCACCTTCTATGTGAAATTGTGCGGACTTATCCCCACACATTTTTGTAAGAGAATATAACTGTTTGAGTGACTGACAGATGGGAGAAACCGATTCAGCTCATATCTGCATGAAGAGAGTTCCCAGCACTCCAAAACTAAGGATTTCACTGTTTTTCTGCTCAAAGCTAAACTTCAATTTCCACATAAGCCTTATTTAGAGACTGAAGCACACGTTGCAGGTCCCTGGAATTGCTGCTGCTCTTCAGAGCTGAATTGTCCCTCTTACAGCCAGTGTCAAATACTACTGAAAAACATCATCGACTCCCAAGGGTGTTGTGTCCTCCACCTGTGGGTGGGGAAGCCAAACATGCAGAAACCACCCCCAATCTTCCTGCATATCACATTGACAGTCTTTAACTTCTGTCCTGGCACATTGTAATGTGAATTATATGTACTTAAACAAAAATCCTGTCCATGACAGCAGTTTGTAATTCTGATAAACCCATGAGACACTCTCCAGGTGTTAAGTGAATACAAGAGAAGCTGGCTTAATAATTTCTGTTGTAATTTCAAGGAAGTGACTGGAATAATGCCAGGTATTAATTTTCCCCAACAAGTCACAAAATGAAAGAATTCTCTATAATGTAAAGTAATGTTTAGGTCCTATTACAAACAAATTTGAAAGGACTCATAAATTCCAACAATGACCACAGCAATTTCATCATCTCGACAGGTTACACGTGTTTGAAATTGGGGTGGGCAACCAATGTTGATCTTGTACCTCCAGCTGCTCCAATATAAAAGCTCTTCTCTCTCATAGCTCTTCCAAACGCTTCCCTTGACTTCTTGGTGACTTGGGTAAGTCTGATTCTTCTCTATTTCTATCAATGTATCTGTATTTATTTATTATAATGTATTTATTCAAGGTCAGGTTGGACGGGGCTCTGAGCAACCTGATCTAGTTGAAGATGTCTCTGCCTACAGCAGGGGGGTTGGACTAGATGACTTTTAAAGGTCCCTTCCAACCCAAACTATTCTATGATTCTATAATTCTATATTTTATTGCTGGTTTCAAATTCAGTTGATGTCCACCATCCATACTGTTGAGTGTATCTGCACTGCCTTGGGACAGAGACTCTAATGCTGGCTCTGGGGCATGGTGGAGTTCTCAGTGTCAGGAACACTGGGACATGCATAACACTACCCTTACTTCAATGCATTTAACTTATTCCAAAGTTCGCATGTTATGAGGTTCAACAATAAGAGCATCACTACTGCAGCCATTCATGCAACCTGAGACGAATAAGCAATGCATCTGAGAAAGTTGTGTGTGTTGTCCTCGTACAGCAAATCTTCTGTCTGTCCTTTACTTTCTTGCTTTCATGTTCTTCCTCAGAACCCTGTTAAGGACTTGCAGGACATAGTGAGTGGAGAAGAATAAAATCACCCTTGGAGAATATAACTAAGTTTAGAGGGGAGAATATAGGCTGAATTCTTGAGTTTACCAAGGAGCCCTGGTTTGTCCTGGGAATAATAATTTGAAATGAGATTTTTGGAAGACATTAGGGACTAAAATGGTGATTTATATTGAAAATGTCCAGGCTGTATCCATACAGTGGCTGTGTAGGTGGGAATTGGGATAACAACACTACCATCTGTCCTTTATTGTCTTGTCAGATGGCTTTCTGAGCAATCTGGGCAGTGACAATCCCATAATCTGTTGTTCCTACAACTCTCAGCAAAATTGGGATGAGTGGGAAGAAGAAGCTACTGTAATTAAGTTATACATAAACTACATC